TGGAAAAGGTCACATATGTGCACAACCCCAGTCCACTGGACAGCAGCATGGCCTTGGACCACAGTGGCTCACGTAGATCTGGATGAAGTTTTCCGAGCCCTAAGCCCGGCTCTGGCTTGCTTGCTCAATGTTACCGTGAATTAAGCCTCACTTCCTCCCATCTTTTTTTTTTTTTTTTTAATGTTTTATTTATTTTTGAGAGAGAGAGAGAGAGAGACGGTGTGAGCAGGAGAGAGAGGGAGATACAGAATCTGAAACAGGCTCCAGGCTCTGAGCTAGCTGTCAGCAAAGAGCCCGATGCGGGGCTTGAACCCACGAACCGTGAGATCATGACCTGAGCTGAAGTCAGGTGCTTAACTGACTGAGCCACCCAGGTGCCTCACTTCCTCCCTTCTATCTGGAAGAGTGTTGCACATTTGCTCTTGGCAAAGAGTTGTGATTCTGGGGTATTGAGGGAGGGCAGTGGCCTGGGGGGGGGGGGCAGGGCCCTGAGCTGACTCTCTGGATGGAGCATTTTCTGTTTCCATGTGGGAGTAAGCCGTGTAGAAGAGGAGCTCTCAGTGATGAAGAGAGTCTTGGCTGATGGTTTCCCGGCTGAGGTGGACAAGAGGAGACCACTGTTGCTTCTGGGATGTGTAACCTGGATCGGGCCATGGTCCAGTGGGCCAAAGAGCCCCTCATTTCTTCTCAAGCAATGCCCTTCACTCTAGGGGCTCTGGGAGCCATGACTGATTTTCTCCTCTCACCTGGACCCAGGGACATAGAGGCAGGCTTTCTGGTTTTGGCCTAGGGCCTTTTAGTATTTGCTGCAAAGCAACCGTTATCAAAGTTGTTGCTGTTTGAAGCCGTGGAATGCGTGCTTCAATGCTGATCTTAAGACAGAAGCCTTGGGGCACCTGGATGGCTCAGTCGGTTAAGCATGCAACTTTGGCTTAGGTCATGATCGCAGGGGTTCGTGAGTTCAAGCCCCACATGGGGTGAGCTTACATCCCACTTTGGGTGAGCTGGAGCCCCACTCTGGGCTCCACACTGCATTCTCTCTCTCCCTCTGCCCCTTGCTCATTCACACACACACTCTCTCTCAAAAAGAAAAAAATTAAAGAAAAAAAGAAGCCTTATATAATGAAGTAGGGCTTCCCAATATGGACATTTAGAGCCAATAATTCTTTTCTATGGGGCATGTCCTGAGCATTTGTGGAACATTTAGGAATATGCCTGGCCTGTGCCCACGAGATGCTGGCATCATTCCCTGCTCCCCCTGCCCCAAGTCGTGACCAACAGAAATATCTGCAGACATTGCCAAATATCCCTTGGGGGGCGGCATAAATACTTCCTGCTGGGAGTCACTGTAAAGACTCTCCTGGAGGTGACAGAGTCAGGATTGGAGCCTAGAGCCTGCCATCTTGCCTCCTGTCTGCCCCCACCCCGCACTGCTTGTGATGGAAGCATCATACAGACTGAGCATAAGGCTACAGCTCTCTGCGAGCCCAGCCACCACCCTGTACTCTGTGCTTGGTGGACGGACTCAGAGTCTCGTAGTCCCACTGACCCATGTTCCCGGCACGGCTCTGAGTTCTTCCTCTCCCACAGTGAGGCGGGTTCCCGGAACGCCTCTGTAGGGGTGGCTGGCACAGCCTGGGGCCCTGGAACACAGTGACCGATGACTGCCCCGCCCAGGGTTCAAGTGCTTCACCTTCCCTTAAAAAATGATCATCGATGGTTTTTCAAATGGTAAAATAAGCGCTCATGCGAAGACATCCTGGACGCACAGTAGACCACCATTTTAGGAGAAGCCACACGTAGCCTATCACACTGGGCCCAGGTCTCTACTGTTTATCACCAACAAAAGCAAACCAGATTTGCTCTCCTATTTATTCAGTTGTCCTCTTTACTGTGTTTTTATTCATAGATTTTTATTTACTTTTTTATTTTTAGAGCCCGCCTTTTCCACCCAAACTTTTAGCACAAAGCATCCAGCAGTGTTATAGAACTGACCCCCCCCCCCCCCCGGGGGCGGGTGCCTGGCGGTGAGTCACAGAGAACTTGGCAGGTGCCCGCCACGGTTGTCCGCAAATGTCAGGCCGCACCTTTGCTTTGCTCTGCGCTTCCTGGGAACCTGCTCCGAGCTGCCGGCTGTGCGTTCCCTGAACCTGTTCATAATTTCAGCTCAGACGGTTTTCCTGGAGGTCAGGAATGACAGATTTACTGCCCCTCCACTCTTCTGCCACATGGAGTTTTTATCAATGATTGCTGAGAAATGACTACTCCCAGCAGATCCATGATGCTGTTTTTAGCCTAAAGAGACATCTCAGCTTCGGGGAGGCACAGGGGTAAAAATAGCCCTGCGGGCTAGCACTCCCTGAGGGCTTCCTGTGCGTCCGGAGCTGCTGGGCAGGGTTCCTAACCTGGTGCCTTCCATCCTCCTCTCATCCGTATGCTGGAGGTATTTTATCACCCCGTTTGACAGATGAGGAAACTGAAGCACAGACAGGTGGAGTAGCCCGGACAGGGTCACCTGGACAGAGGCAGCCACGGGGCCCGGCTCTGCTTCCCGGCAGCCTTGCTCAAAGCAAGTGGTCGGTGGGCAGCCTTTTTCTATAAAACGCCTGGAGCTCTAGGCAGGTCTCTGCCACAGTTATGTCCATCTTTGTAGTTTAGAGGCAGCCACAGACTGTAGTAAATGAACAGATAACGAATACTGAAATCTGAATTTCATGTGTTTTTCACACGTCACAAAATTGGATTCTACTTTGGATTTAAAAAAAAACTGTAAAAACTATTCTTAGCCCTCAGGCTAAACAAAGACAGGTGGTGGGCTGCATTCGGCCTACAGGCTCTGGTTTGTCGACCCCGCTCTAGAGCCTAGACACAGCGCCGTGGCTGTGAACCGGCTCTTTCCCCATACAGGGAAACTCAGACCCAATGGAGGAAGCAGGGGACATTGCCTGGCGACCAGGGAGCCTTTTGCACCAAAGAGTTCACCCCTTGCCCTGCTGTATCTCAGCGTGTGCCTGTGTCGAGGAGGGGTCGATCTGTGGCCATAAGGACATGAGGACCAGAAGGGTGAAGTGTTAGATTGCACTGATGATTGACGATTCAACCATAATAGAAACACATTGATGGAATTCTAATGTAGGCTGAGAAGAGTGGTTGCATTTATTGAAGCAGCTGATGGACAGCTGCTTGCTGGGAGCAGACCCTGGTCTGCAGCTGGGCTCCTATGAATGAGGTTGTCTGTAGGAATGGTTTGGTCTACGTGGTAGTTTACCTGGACTGATGGCCCAGTGAATCCACCCGGGAGGCACTGGCACAGGTCATTTTATTCCTTTGGTCTTCCTGTCCCCCTGAAATGGAGCCAAGATCCCTGCCCCGGCAGGACCAGACCAAGCAAGCTGCCCTGGGGCTGTGAGGCTTCTAGGGAGAAGACTTTGGAGTTGGAATTCAGCCCCGACCTGGCCACCTGGTCCATGTCCCCAGCAGATGCCAGTGTGTCTGGCTGCTCAGCAGGGGCCCCGAGAGAATGTGGTACAAAACGGGCTCTCCGCATACCTTGTCACTATGCGGCTTTGAAATGCTTCCAGAGGCCCTGGCCACTGCTGCCCTGTGGCCTTCCTGGCTCTGGCTCCACTTGGTGACAGATGGGAGAGCCACGGGTGGGGCGGGGCCAGGGAGGAGGTGTCTGGGGAAGGTGGCTGCCACTTTGCTGGCCTCCGTGCGCCTGGGATAACAGTGTTGCAGGATGAGCTAAGAGGACGCTTTGATCTCGGGGGCCCCGATGGGAGCATCAGATCCCAGGAGGGTGGGTGGGCAGCAGAAGGCCTTCTCCTGAGGCCCCTTGGAGCTCCTTGGGACAGAGATAGAGGGACACAACCCTAGAGTTGGAAAGGGTCTTCACAATCAGTAGTTGGATGGCTGTAATGGAGGATGCCTGTCCCTGGCATTTGGTCAAAATAAAAAAAACAACAACAAAACAGTAATCAAACCCATGTATGACAAGCTAGCCTCCTGTGCTTATAGAAATTTCCAGTTCTTTTCTTTGGGCTGGGCCTTATCCATTGGGGGATTTAGTCCTGGTTTATGTCTGTTGATAAAAAGCGCTGGTTAATGGTGATTTATATCTTCAATGAATAAATCGGAGAAGATGAATTAATTATTACTTTGTAAATGTAGTGTGCCTACTCCATGCAAGCCGCCTTAAACATGAGGTCTCTTGGGAGGAAGTTCTAAGTGGAGATCTTTGCGACGAGGAAGCAGAGAAACTGCTGATCTAGTATAAACTCTCTTCCTTTATCAGTGAAGACAGGAGGCCCAGAGAGGTCACAGCTCTTGCTCAGAGCCACTGGTCCTTAGGTCCCAGAAGTGAAGCTAGAGCTGGGCTCCGTGGTCTCAGTTTCCTTCTGTGACTCCCTGGTCCCCAGCCTGTCCCCTTCCTGGAGTCGGTTCTTCCCAATCAAACTATTGGTGTCCTTGAACTCCAAATGGGCTGGGCTGGGGTCACCCAAACGAGGCGTCAAGTGTCTGGACCCCGGGGGACCCTGCATCCGGTGTGTGCTTCTCCTGGGCTCTTCCACTCAAAGGCCATGCCCACTGTCCAGCCACCCTACCCCTCTCCACCTTTTAAAACCAAATCCTTTGTATTGTCTTTCTGGACCACTAAGAAAATGAGCATGCCCTTAGAAGAAGGAAACCAAGTCACGATGCTCAACTAGGAAACTGGGTTTCGAATCTTTAAAAAAAGAGAGCTTTCTGGAGCTGAGAGGGGACATTAAATGCTGTCCCTGGGCCAGGTGCTGTCCATGACAATCTTGTCAGTTGGGTGGTGCGCATGCCCCCTCGCAGAGGGAGAAACCGAGGCTCAGAGAACCTTGGCTGCTTGGCAGAAGGCCTGGCTAGTGTGTGGGCAATCCAGGATTCGAAGCTGGGTCTCTCTGGCTCTAAAGACAGCACCTTTCCAGTGTACCCCGGCCCACCTGAGCCCTGTCTTTCCTCTTCCCGCACAGACACATAGAGAACTGGCGAGGCCTGCACACGCTCAACGCCGTGGACATGGAGCTGTACACCGGCCTCCAGAAGCTGTGAGTGTGCTGGGGGCTGGGGGGGAAGGGCTCCTGGCTGCCTCCAGGGCTGGGTGGGGTCACAGGTGGGGGGCACTGCCAGCTGTCCTCCGTGCTTTCCCCCGTTGTTTCTCTTTCAGTAGAGTCGGTACCACCTACTTGGGGGATGTTCTGGCCTTCAGAGGCTGCGCCCTCGCTCTTCCCAGTTTCCTCTCAGCCTGGAAGGCAAGGGCATTGGGTGGTCTCACCAGTAGCTAGGGTTTCAGGGCAGGACCTGAGCCCAGGTCTCTGGACTAGTGTTCTCACCTCAGCCCCGAAGTTGACTAATGGTCCCCCCAAAGTGCCCATTTCCCAGCCACCTCCTTCTGTGGACTCGAGGTGTTAGTGGCTTGGGGCACTCGGGGTTGGGGAAGGGAGTAGGGACAGTCACTGGACTGTCTTGAGGAGGAGACACATTACCCGCTTGCCAGGATGCGGGGGGGGACAGCTGTGGGCACCCCCACACTCCTCTCCTGGGTCCCGGTGGGGTGTGAGCCCAGATACCGTCCGCTGGGCACCTGGTGATGCTGGCGGATGAGGAAACGTGTTCAGTTCACAGGAGCGGCTGCAGGGGCCACCTTGGCATGCCCTCCCGTCAGCTCCTGTCCAACGGCCCAGTGCTCCGTAGGCTCTGCTGACCCTGTTTCTCTCTCTCTCCAGGACCATCAAGAACTCGGGACTCCGGAGCATCCAGCCCAGAGCCTTTGCCAAGAATCCTCACTTGCGCTATATGTGAGTAGAGTTGGGCCCCGGGCTGTGGGGAGTGGGAGGGGGCACATGGCCGGAGGGTGCTGGGCAGTGGGGCTGGAGACCTGAGGTCTGGCTCAGCCTTGCCACCGTGCGCCCTGGGCCTCCAACTTTACCTCCTGCAATGAGGGTTTGGGATTTGAGGGTTTCTAAGGTTCCTGTCAGAAGGAGAAGCCTAAACCAGGGCCTGGAGGGGAAAGTCTCCAGACTCCCAAGTTTGCTTGCTTTTCATTTCCAATTTAATGGGAACGTAAATAAGTTCCACTTCCCTGTACTGTGAAGGCTACACTTCGGAGAGCATTTGTAGGTCTGTGAGTGTGTGTGCATGTGCAGCTGTGTGTTGAGGTGGGGCTGGAAAAAGAGGAAAGGCAGGGGCAGACCAAGTGTTCTGTCTAAATAAATAGGCTCTGGGTTCGGTGGAGAAGGGCTCAGAGAATGGAGACGCCTGTATGAGGCCCCACAACTTTGTTTGGGACAGTTTGTAGACCACATGGCTCTGGGTGGGATTCTTGTTGGTACCTCCCTCCACCCCTTCCTTGCTCCTACCTTCCATGTCTGATGGTCGACGGGCCTCCTCAGGGTTGGCTCTGGTTGGACCTGTTGCCATCTTGGACATCCACAGGGCACGCGTTCCCTGAGAGAGCAGAGATTCGAACCTGGGGGAGAAAGAGGGGTCTGTTGTATTTGGGGAGAAAATGGAGCAGTGACATGAAGGGGAATCTTTCCTTTGGCCACAGGAGAGTTGTACTGGCTGGGGTGTTTTGCATTTGATGACATGAGGGCGGCCCGCTGGATGGGAGTGTCCTGTGGAGAGGCAGAGCATTCAGGGGAGGCTCTCAGAAAGTGGAAGGAAGGGAGGAAGGGAAAGAGAAGAGATGGTGGAGGGTTGTGGTGGTGGAAGGGGATTCTCTTTGGGGGTGCTGCCCTCACCCCCTGTTCTCTGTGTGCTTTCTCAAGCCCATAGTGAGTAATCAGTGAATACACACACACACACACACACACACACACACACTTCTCAGTTATGGCCACCCTTGTTTGGCGCCCAACTTTCTTTTTTCCATCAGGAAATGGCATACGGCAAGGCCCTTGCACAGGGCCTGATGTATTATTAGCTGTGGGGGACGAGACCTCCCTTCCAAATGTCCCATTTAGCTGTTGCCCCTTCTAGTCGAGCGTCTGTGGTGAGATTCTCCTAATGTGTGTTCTTCGCAGCTGGAGGCGTAGCTGGGACCTGAGGAGGGCTTTGGACCAGATGCTCCAGGTGTTTATTTTATTGGGGATTTGAATTTCAGTGTAAAATATCCCAGAGGAAGAAGCTTTTGACCTCTGAGAAAGTCTTTCTTTTCATGCTCCCTCGTTCAAAGTTCACAAAGCTAACAGCCCATGGCAGATCACGTGGGGACAATGGAGGCTGGGGACCACATGTCCCCTCTAAAGGGGCAGCCGGCTGACGCTGCTGCCGTGTGGAGGTGGGGGCCTCGCCTTGCCAGACTTACTGTTTTTTCAAGAATAGCTGGAGGTCCTGTGAAACCGCTCAAGTTTTAAATGCTGGCAACTGAAAACAAAACCCCTCTCCCCCGTGGGCCAAACAAAATGGCTCCATGGGCGGAAGATGGGAGTGCCAGTTCGTGGGCTAGCGTCACACTTGGGGGAGAGAAGCCATCATCACAGGAGAAGCTCTGTCCCCTTTGAGGACAGTGGCTGGTGCCCATGCCCTAGAGACTTCCAAGGCATTGTGTTGCCAGCAGCTCTCAGGGAAATCGAGGGGGCTTTGGGACCCCTCACGTTTCTTTGGGCCCCAGAAGTGGGAGCAGGAGTGCCTCTCTGAAGTCCAGTGTGCTGGAACTTCCCTTGACTTACTGTTGAGATTCTGGAAAAAGGTTGTAACCCACGGTCTCTTTGGGGATGATCTGGGGTCTGCTGGGTAGTGGCCATGATAGGCTGGAGGGCCTTTAAGATTCCCAAGGTTTGGGGGCAGAACAGGTCTGGTTTGAGTAGCTCTGTTGATAACTGGGAGCCTGCCCATGACCTCGGGCCCTGCTTTCTCCTGAAAGCATTGGCCAGCTTTTGCCAAAGTGCTTGCTGTTAGCAAGAAGGATGGGCTACTATCAATCCACCCCAGTTTGGGCCTGGCTGTACATCAGGGGCCAGTTAGGATGCTCAGGTCGGTATGAGAGACTCCGCACCTGTCGAGCTTTGGTGGGCACTCCACAGAGGAGTCGGGCATCGGGGTGGGTTTCATCGATGGGTTTACCGACTGACTTTTCCCCCGTAACGAAGACACACCCCCTGATCCCAAATGAGTGAATTTCCCAGCAGCTTCAGGACATTTTTCTCCTGGCAAACGGGCCAGGTTTCTCTGCTGTCTTACAGCATCTTCTATTTCTGTACTCGAAATGCAGTTACGAGTCTCCGGGCCCCAGCTGAGCAATCACAAGATGATCACTTACTCCAGCACTAATTGCCGAGCCCTGGCTTGGCGGCTTTTTTCTTTTTTTCTTTAGGGTGATGGCTGAGAAGTCTTTTCTTGTCCCCTCTGTACGGAATAAGAAGCAGGAAGTGAAATCATCACCCTCTGCACTGATGTCAAGTTGTCTAAATTGCCTTGATTAGCTCCGCCCGCCCTCCCCTCCCCCCCCGCCCTCCCCTCCCCCCCCGCCCTCCCCTCCCCCCCCCCGCCCCACCCCTTCTAAGCTGCTGTTTCATTACTCAGGGTCTCTGCTTCCTCAGGACAGAAAAATAAACCAGCGATGTTGAGGCCCATCATATGTTGCAAAGAAGACTGGAGAGAGGACTCTTGTGTCCTACTTCAAGGTTTTTATGAGTGACTGACCACCTTCTGACTGCTTCAGTTTTTTTTCTCTGTCCTTTATTGAGCATGAGAAAGGGAAATAGTGATTCATTTGCACCAGGGGAGATAGTTTCTGAGACACTGGAATGCCCTAGACCCTTCGATCCTTTTCCTGCTCTTAAAGATTTTTGGATTAAGGATCCTTAAGGATAAGGATCTTCCAAGTGGATAGTTGAAATAGCTATTTGCTAATCTGTAAAATGGGCGCACTTTGTGGATGGGATGTGGGGAAGATGAGGTCATAAGAGGCACACACAGCACTTAGCCCAGTACCCAGTAAATGGTCAGGGTTCAGAAACAGCAGTCGCTAATAATGATAGTAATTATTGTTGTTGTTCATGGTGGTGATAATAGAACCGAAGAGGGGAGACCAGGTGGCCTTGATGATTCTGACCATGACTTTTTTTTTTTAATGTTTTTTTTTTTTATTTATTTCTAGGAGAGAGAGAGACAGAGAGAGACAGAGACAGCATGAGCAGGGGAGGGTCAGAGAGAGAGGGAGTCACAGACTGAAACAGGCTCCAGGCTCTGAGCTGGCAGTCAGCACAGAGCCTGACGTGGGGCTCGAACCCACGAACCGCGAGATCATGACCTAAGTGAAAGTCGGACGCTTAACCGACTAAGCCACCCAGGCGCCCCGACTCTGACCATGACTTTGTTCTGGAAAAGTCATGTATCTGTCCTGCAGTGCAGTGCATCTCTCTGGAGACTGGGATACGCTTCTCTGCAGTCTCTTCTGTCTTTCTTCCTTGAATACTGATGAATGACCCCAGACAGATTCTCTGTTTTGTCCATTTAGTCGCCCTGCTCTAGATTCCCTGAACACCCCTCTCTGATGATGGTAGTTTCAGAAAGGACCCAAACAATTCAGCTGGTGAGCTTACCCTTTGTCTCCATCTGACTGGAGACCACATCCACCCGCACTGGTGAACTTGGATTATTTGCTGAGTTTTCCAGCCCCACTTCTGCAGCCAGCTCATCTCTTCCTTTTCTGGGGTCTGTTTTCTCTGGCGTGGCTCACATCGGCTGGACCTCCACAGTCTGGGGTCCCCAGAAGCCGAATAATGTAGACGTCTGTCTCCGAGCTGCACTAAAATGGTGGTATTTACTTCCGCCTGTAGAGCACTTTAGAGTTTTCAGAGTGCTTGCCCATACATTATCAGCTTCACTTCTGCGTACCATGCTGGCTGGGGAAGTGTGGTAGGCAGCACAGGAGGCAGGGCCAAAGAGGGTCTCACCTGTAAGCAGAAGTTGAACTGCCGTGAAGTCCTCTGATTTCCTTTCCAGGAATCTTTCCATTATACCTCATGGGCCAGAACGGGCAATGTTTTCCACTGAAGCAATTAAAATTTTTTTTCCCCTTAAGATGGTTAGAAAGTTGCATAACATTGCTAGTATCAGGAAAGAAGAAGGAAGGGCTAGTAGTGAGAACTGACTGTGCTAAGGAGCGTGCCTAGTGCTTTTGCAAATATGATATTCTTCCTCTTGGTAACTCTAAGTCAGGGTTCCTCTATCCCATTTGATAGATGGGAGCACAGAGGCTCAGAAATCATAACTGACTTTTCTCAACATCACACAGTAGTTAGGAACAGCCAGGACCTGGACTCTGATCCCTAAGCCTCTGAAGTCGGTGTATTGTCCCACAGCCCAGGCATGTCTGTGTGTCTCTGTCTGGTTCTGCAGCAAGAACTCCTATTGGGAGAAGTGGGAGTCTTTAACGTTTTATTAGAGAGAGCTGCTGTTTCCCCTGGGGGTTTAGCACCATCCATCCTCAAAGATCTCTGTTGAGAAAGTTCTGTTTAGTTTCTTTTCCTATTCGGGTCAAATCCTCTAACAACATTTCCATTACAACCTGAATATCTTTATTATAAAAGACTTCTTAGCATTAGCCTGTGGCTCACTCATTTCCAAGAATATGCAATGTGAGATTCCAGCAAGCCAAAGGAATTTATTTCATCCCTTAGAGTTGTTGTGGTCAGATTTCTCTCATGTTCTGTTGCTTGCTTTTTCTCACAAAGCCCTGGATGCCACGTTAAGTCGTGCCTCTCTGTCGTAAGCAGACACACTTGATCTTCAGCTGAGCAAGCCAGCCCTGAAGTTGACCTGTGTGGGAGCATGATGGGGCGAGGCGGGG